TACTAAAAAAAGTTATTTTAACAAAAAAAAAAACTATAAAAAAAAAAAATCGTCCCAAACAAGCAATAGTGCGGTTGTCCCTCCGAATTCCTCAAGAAAAAGTGAAAAACTATCATAAACAAATTTAGTATTTGCCCACCCAATTTCTGATTTATTAAAAAAAAAAGCTCAACTAATTCCCCCAAAAAAAAAAAAAAAAAAAAAAAAAAAGCTCAACTGTTGTACTAAAAAAACTATAATACGAAAAGCGTGCAGGGGAAGAGAGAAGTGTTGCAGCGGTAGAACAAATGTGGAGTTGAAGGTCGTGGTACGGAATTAAATTCAAAATCATTTAAATTTTGAATTTAACATATTTTGTGGCTGAGTTAAAAGTCTTGGGGTCATTTGTTTGGATTATTTTAGGGTGCAGAGTATTTTAAATATAGGGGTTTAAAAAAAAACTAGTGTTCGATTGGGATAATTTGGGAAATTATTAGGTCCGATCATCGGACCAAAATTTTTGTCCGGATTCCCTGCATTTTTAGTGCATTTTTACTGTGCTTTTTATGTATTTTTGAAAAAGATCAGCTAATACACAATTTTAATTGCATATTAGCTGCTCTTTTACAACCCTTTTACTGAATATTTGAAAAGCGCAACAAATGTATAGCAAAATGACAGCAAATACTCAATAAGTAAGATATTTGATATGCTTTTGCTATATTTTTGCAAATACTCAACAAAAAGCAGCTAAAATGCAATTAAAATTGTGCATTAGCTTTCCTTTTTAAAAAATGTATCAAAAGTGCAATAAAAGCACAAAGATCCGGATGAAAATTTAGGTCTGGTGACGAGACCTAATAATTTGTCAGATAGTTTGGATGAAAAAGGAATTCAAAGTAAAGGAAAAAAAAATATAGTGTAATTCATTTTAATTTATTTTTGAGGTAAATCAAACTCTCCCAATTTTGAGGGGGAAGGCTTTACACCGCAAGCAAGTTCGCATGTGACACAACCCAACTCGACCAGGATAGGTCTTCTGGTGTTGAGCTGTGATAAAGAATATCTCAGGTTCTAGTTTTGAAATATTTCAGATTCTCTTCTAATTATTTTAAATAACAACATTCTACAAAGTTACTAAAACATCTAAATACTAAAATAAACTCATCTATAAGGTTATTCCATTTCATCAAAATATATATCTACACTACAATAAAAATTATATATATATATATAAGATACATAATTGAATACAGAGAAATACCTATAACCTCAGATTTGTTCCTAAACTGTTAATGGACAGTCTTCTTTCCTATCACAGATCCTAAAAATCACAAACAAACCATAGTGAGCAACAACAACTAGTAGGCCACACAAGCCAATCTAAATTTTCAAATTCTTATTAAATTTTGGCGAATATTTAAAAGTAGTTAAATACAATCTAATAATTCATTATACTGAGAAATGTAATAAAAACATAGAAGTTATCCACTTATTTAAATAATAATACTGAGAATATAAATAAATTGCAATGTGTATCATAGAACAGTTCATATCACATTTATCATACCCAGATAGAATCTTAAAATATTCTTACTTCTTATGACTCCTTTTTGTGCTTATAACACCAGAATATGACTTATAACCACCAGAAATCATCTTCTTCCTTCCAAAATCCTCTTATTATGACTTTTTCCAATGATGTCAGAACATATCAATCTAGATGTTGAACCTACAGATGTCACAGCTTGATCGACGTTAACCACCACCACTGCCAACACCAGCCACCCTTGCAGCCACCTGACAGCGGCTATCGTCGCCGCCACTGACGGTCGCCGACCAGCAACCACTTTTGTCACCACTATCACCTACCATCTGCCGTCATTTTTAAACTTTATACTACATTCATTTTATTTCAAGCCAAATAAAAAAATATTCACCTGAATTTACTTTATAGTCATCCAAACAACTCTAAAGTATTCACCTGAATTTACTTTATTATTATTATTATTATTATTTGTTAGGAATGTACTATTTCTGTGGAATTGGCAAAGTGCTTTCACTGCTTTGTGAGCCTCACAAGATTTTGTGAATTCAACAAAATATCTTACTATTTTTCTTAACGATTGAAATTTAGATTTTGGTTTTGCAATTATTTTTTCTGCAAAAACCGCCAACAGAAAATAATATTTATTTGACAAAAAATTAAATAAATAATTCCTATTTTGTTTCTTTAACTTTATTTTAAAATTTTAGAATAAAATTGCAATTTTTAAAAGTCCCTTTTAATTGACTTTGGGGGCATAATGTTAATTTTTTAATACTTATTTCACAATTTAATAGTCATGACATCACTGATGACAACCATTATGAATTATGATAATTTTTACATATTGAATATGATCTAAGATAATTTTGTAATTTTTAAAGGACTAAACTGATTAAATATGCTATAATTAAAATTTCTGAAATACATTGTTGAGATACAAACATCACAGTCAACCAAATGAATTAAATAATCTTACTTACCGTTGCCATAAGAATTTATTTATTTTTTGATATTTAAGTCAACTAAGATAAATTCATATATCACACACATATATGTAAAATTTGAATCTAAAATCTCTTTAGTGATAGTAAAAAATCTAAATCAAGAGGCAAAAATGAGTAGAAAAATGTTGACATCGGACAGCGTTCGAGACCAACCAGAACGTGCAGTGTCATTTTTTTACTCGGTACCACTCAATATCAAATGATCTGATACGTTCTGATTGGTCTCCGAATCGTCCAGCATCGGCAGAGAATAATTGCTCATTGAGATAACATCACAGTTACAACTTATAATGAGTTTGATTGCTTCCAGGTCTCCTGGTCTCATTCCCAGACCAAGCTGGCTGCAACCTTCTAGAAATCCTTGGCTGAAAATGACTAAAGGTTGAATATTTCCAACATAATTTAACTGGACAAAAAAATACCAGAACATTTTTCCGAATGCCTTGTGAGCTGCGCTAGGGTTTGGCGATTTTTTTCTCCCGGCGCCTCCTCCGCACTTTGTGTCCCTCCGCTTAATATTTATCCTTTTTTTAAATATATTTATGAAATTTCAGAAATCAAATGAACCCTTTAAACAAATTTCACATAAAGATGATAAATTTTGATGATTTTGATAATTTGTTATAAAAAAATATAGAAAATAATTAAAATAATTCTGCCTCTTTATGAAAGATTAAAATAATTCACAATTATATTAAATGATCATTTTATCCCTCAACTCTCTAAAGAAGAGCCAAAATAATTCCACCATTGGGCTATTTTGATTTCTTTTTAAAGACTTAAAAGATCAAAATGATCATTAGGGACTATTTTGATCCTTTGTAAAGAATTAAGAGATCAATATGATATTTTTTTTCTAAAAAAATATAAATTAGAACTCATTTGGTTAATTAAAATTATTTTATTTTCAATCATTTTAAGTATTAAAAAAAAAACCATCATAAAAAAATACAAGATTTATAGTAAAACAAAATCAACTTTGACATCTAACTACATCCACCTAAATAATAACAAAAACAATTAAAAGGGTCAATTTTATTATTAGCAGTAATATTTGCTTAAAACCATACGCTTCAGATAATTTAAGTGCATTTAATCCCCTCATTTAGGTTTTATTTGGGTCAACTTTCTTACTACTTAAAGCTTTATTTTAGTATAAAAACTTAAATTTTTATACTAAAAAACTGTTTTAAGAAGTAGTAAGAAAGTAGTCCCAAAAAAACCTTAACCTCAACCATCGCACAAAAAAAAGATTATTGCCACCAAATTACTTATTTTATAGCAAAGTCTTATATATAATGTTGCCATGACCATGAATCATGATGATTCCCTAAAAAGAAAATTTCAGCTCTCTTCTTCTAGAAAGTCTACAAATTTTTTTTTTTTTAAACGAGATATCTACCCGCTACCACCTCCATCAGAGGCGTTTGGTAGCGTAACTTATCTCACTACGAGCCTACCAGCAACCAACTCAGGTGCAGGACTCGCAATTCTTTTCTCACCCCGATGAGTGTTGCGCCACATTGGGAGGTTAAACTCGAGATAGGGGTTCCCAACCGCACTCGCCCACCAACCCAGCTAAACCCGGTGGATAAAGTCTTCAAATTATAAACCTTTTCTCCAATTTTGTTTGCAGATCATGCCACGTGGCATATGTGATATGAAATGATCAAAGCAAATGGTAAAATTGGAATTAATTGCATAACAGTTAGAATTTCACAACAAATTACAGCTCAGGCGGAGAAATCCACAAATAAGCAATTCCAACAACCAACAAAGCAATAAAGCAAAGTCAACAATCCAAGATGGGCAGAATCCACTGTATTAAATGAAAGTCCAACAACAAATAGTTTTCCTCTCTATTAAATGTAATAGAACAAAAGTCCAACAAACGGATAAACGATAAGCTCAATTGGGATCATAGAGAAAATAGCAATGAATCAGGTGGGGCAGCAATCTTTCACTTTCTTCATCAACAAGCAGCCATAAGAATATGAAATCCAACCATATATGATTTCTTATTCTAAAAATAAATATAAATTAACAACTTTGATAATATTTAAATTATTTTTTATCATTAATGAGATTATTTTTCTCATCATAACAGATAAATAAAAAAATTCTTCAAAAAATTCTAATATATTACAACAAAATAGTATCAATATCAAAACAATAAGGGAGGTTTACATACATACCAATTTATTTCATGCTATTTACATATCTAACACCCAAAATATTAATATTACATGACTACCACCCATATGGAATGAAATATTAAAGTTTATAGGATAGTATGAATGATAAACATGAATTATAAGAGCGGTATATTTGATATTAAAGTTTTATATAGGTGATAGACATGTAATATTAATTTTTTAGATGATAGATATGTAAATAGCATGAAATAAAATGATACGTATGTAAATTTCCCAACATGAAAACATTTTATAGAGAATGATAAGACAACATAAATCCAAACATAAGTAATTTTAATAGCAACAGAACAATCCCTTACAATTATCTCAACATTTTGACCTAAAAGGTGTGGTGGTGATATGGGACAATTAGTGAAGGGAGGGAGGGAGGGAGAGAGAGCTCAGAAATGGGAAGAATGATAATTATTTCCAATGTAAACAACACTAAGCTCTTGGAGAACATTACATATATACATACATCCCATTTCCTATACACTTCCTTTCATAATTTCATTCCTAAGGTTCATGAAAGAGGAGCTGCTGAGGTCTAGAAACATGGCAAACCTAGAACCATCACCAGACCCCTAATGAACTGAACCAATGAGATGTAGATAGCAGGCGAAAAAAGAATATCAAGTCCTAAGCAAAGGGAAGAACTAACAAAAAGGGCCAAAGAATTCAGTTACCCCCATTGTTTAGCTGTAATGAGCCATCCTTGATCAGCTTCAAGCTAAGGCTGTTGAACCGTTCACGCGAATACTGTCTTGACACCTTCCTCCAATCTGTCCCGGCTTTCATCATAGTTGCAAACTCCTCATAGCTAATTTTTCCATCCTAGTAAAGAGAAGGTTCATGTCAAACCCAAGGCTCATAAATCTCAAGTGATTTTGTAATGGATGTTTAAAAAGATAGCTCAGGTGGTTTATGTAAAGGTAATCATAATATGATAAACCGACCTTGTCGGTATCAACATCGCGGACGATGGCATTGATGACTTCATCATGGTTAGGACCCAAGTCATCGGCTAGCGCCTCACTCAGCTCTTCGATTTCGATGTAGCCACTCTTGTTCTGATCGAAGTAAGCAAAGGCTTTGTGCAGATGCTCATCATTGCCCAATTTCTTCAGGTGAATTGATAAAGCGACAAATTCGCCATATTCTAGGGTTCCATCTCCATCAACATCAGCCTTACATTCAAAATTGGATAAAGCTCACCATATAAATATAAATAGAGAAGAACAACTAAAATTATAATTATTTCTGACTTCAGAACAAAATATTTAATGCTATAAGGAGAGTATCTTAACTCTTTAAAACTAAAGCTTGGAGCATAAGGCAAATAATCAAACACTTACAGCATCCATCAGAATCTGAACATCTGCATTAGGAATCTGATGCCCGAGTTTCTGAAGTCCAGACTTCAGCTCTTCCAGAGTGATCCGCCCTTTTCTGTTTATGTCCATCATCTCAAACATTTTCTTTATATCTGCAACTTCCTCCACAGATAAATGCTCAGCAACAACCTGAAAATTCATTTCAAAATCATCATGGTGCTCTCCCTTACATAATGGAGTACAACGAACAGGTATCTGCCCTTTTGAAGTAATAATTAGCACAGGTGAAAGGAATAGTGTCCAAGTCATGTTTAAGGATTGGTTTAGACAACAGAGTGTAATTACAGAGGATGAATCTTACTCTGAGAGCTCTCTTTTTGAACTTGTTCATCGACGAAAATTGTTGAAGTCGGGCTCGAACAGTTTCACCCAGATTAACATTTGGGGCCTTCTTGGCATTCTGCAACCAAGGATGATCTGTAATACACAATGGCATGTTAAATGTCAGTTAATTGCATCGAGCACCACTCCAGAATAGGGCATATAGCTGTAAGTGTGCCATACATCTAACCATAAGTGCTAAAATCCAAGAAAAAGATACTCATCAAAGAAAAAAATAAACCAGGCAACAAGATATCAAAAGTCGAAAGCACTTTACTTTGTTAGTAAAAAATTAACTTTAAGTTAAGCTTCCATTGTCTAGTCAGCATTATTGAAAGGTTAATTAATGTATCAAGATGTCAAAATCTTTTTGATGATGAAATAAACAATAACACCATATGCATTTAATACTTTTTAAATATGATATTTACCTAACACTTCTAGAGCTGTTAGGCGGTGCCTTGGATCTGGATCAAGCATCTTTTTAACAAGATCTTTAGCACTGTCCGAAATTTTAGGCCAAGGATCTCTCTTAAAATCTACAGTAGAACGAATGATTGCCTGCGCAACTCCCTGTTCAGTTTCTACATTCAAAATATTTATTGTTAGTTAAATTATATGCACAAAATCAAAAATTTATAATCCTAATGATATGAATCACTAAGGCAATCTACCCAAAAAAAAAAATAAAGTCCATTTTCAAATTTACTAAGACAGCCGAAATGAGAAGGGAAGAAGTTCAAGAATCAAAGTAACGGATCATTACCAGCCCAAAATGGTGGTACACCACAAAGCAAAATGTATAATATAACTCCAGCACTCCATACATCAATTTCTTGGCTATAATTTCGCTTTAGAACCTCTGGAGCCATGTAATAAGGACTTCCCACAATCTCGGAAAAGTGTTCACCTGCTCATGAAACACAATCAATGAAAGCATTGAACAAGTTTAAGGGTTCTGTCATCAATCAAGATGTTTAGTAGCCACATCAAGCAGAAGCATTGAAAATAGAAAATATATCAGCTCAATATATATTGTTTCACATAAATCTCTAATGAGATCAAGCAAAAGCAAATATGGGAATAAAAGCAGGAATAAGTCAATTACATACCAGGCCTGAAAAATATAGACAGACCAAAATCAATTGCTTTCAATGCAGAAGTTTCCTTCTTATTAGCAAACAAAAAGTTTTCAGGTTTTAGGTCACGATGCATCACTCCGTGCTTGTGACACATCTGCAAAAGAAACATAACAAGTAAACAATCACCATATGAAATCAAAAAGAAAGAATTACCACCATAATAAATTGTCAAAATTGAGCTTCCACTAAATTCAAGTATAATAGGCATCTTTGATTAACTAAGATTTTGTTTGGGACGGCTTTCTTACGCTTCCTAAAGCAGCTTTTCAGTACAAAAATTAAAATTTTGTATTGGAAAGCTGCTTTAGGAAGCAATAAGAAAGCTGTCCCAAATGAAGCCTAAGACTTCCAGACTCTAGCCAACACTTGATTAGTCAACATGATGTGAACAATTACTTAATTAGAAGAGTATGAATCACAAAGGAAGTGTTGCTCCAGCACACGAAGATGACATAAAAAAGGTAAATAAGAAAACCCGATCAACATTCTAAGTTATGAGGTAAAACGAAATTATATTTAATTGCTGCGGCAGCAGCAGAACAAAAAAAAAAGAATTCTAGCACCATAAAGATTTTATCCAATCGCCATGAAAATTTATCATATCTGAATTTACCGAATTTACTAAATCCCACTTGAGTTAAATATTAGTCATAGCCAAAGATACCCTGAATTTTTTGTTCCAAAAAAAGGAAGAAAATCCTAAAAGTTTTGCCCTAAACCCTAGACTGCTAAGCATCAAACGTCAGACTCCAAACCTATATCCAATTTTATAGAGAAAAAAAGAAACTCAAGAACACACAAGTATGGAAGCAATTACTAAATTCGAAAAATAGTTCAATTAAATCAGGAATCCTAAACCACGTCGAGATCAGAAACCAAACGATTAACCTACATAAGCAGTATCTACAAGCACTGGAGATTTCACCTGAACGACCTCAACGATAGTCTTAGTGACCGCAGCAGCAGCTCTCTCAGTATAATGTCCCCTGGCAACAATCCTATCAAAAAGCTCTCCACCCTCACAGAGCTCCATCACAAGATGAACAGCGTTATCGTCCTCATAAGTATCTTTAAGGCTCACAATATTGGGATGCGCGGGCAAATGCCTCATGATGTCGACCTCGCGCCGCACATCATCAATATCAACCGCAGTCCTCAGCTTCTTCTTGGAGATCGATTTGCAAGCAAATTTCTCCCCTGTGGCTTTATCGATGCATAGATAGGTGATCCCAAACTCTCCTCTTCCCAGCTCGTCGCCGAGCTCGTAGCTGCTGCCGATGTCTCGGCCTGTTGGCGCCTTGAGTACCACGAGCTTGGGCACACCGGCGATTGGGCTTCGGTTGTAATCAACGGAGAAGGGGTTCTGCTTGCCCACCTTCTTATTCTTCGCCTTCTCAACCTTATCAGAAGAATCAACCGGTCTCGCGCAACAGTTACCCATACTGATTCAAGATCAGGGATCCTTACTAGGGTTTAACTTTTCGTGCTTCCTTCGAAGATCAGCAAGTGCAGAAAGATTCAGATGGTTTCTTTCCAGAGTAAACGAAGACAACCCAATCCGTGCCCGAGCAGCGAGAAAGCCAAAAAGGCGACAATCGAGAAATCTACTAAAAAACGAGAAAGTCAGATTCTTCTAACTAAGAGATACTTCCTTGAATAATCCAACAAAGAAATCTTCATCGATTGAAGAGAAATAGAGAATAATGGAATACAAAGGGGAAAAGGGATCAAAGTAGAAAATTTAGACATGGAAGAGGCCTTTAATGGCGGAAGAGATTAGAAAGAAATTACAGAGCTAATGCAGACAGGTTTGAATAGGCTGAAAGCTGAATCCACAAACGCCTTGCTTTCTCTTTCTTTTCCGCTCGTATTTCAAACGAATAGAAAAAAGAGGCAGGATAAAAACAAGCGAGGGTTGAGATTGCGATATTTCTGCTTCGTTCGCTGGTCTCTTTCTAATGCTTCAAAAACTGAAGGATAATTTATGTGAAATTTTCTATAGTTTGGCCTTTCTAATAAAGAAAAACGGCAAATTTAATATTTTATTTATAAATAAAAAATATATTTTATCTAATAGTTGGATTCAGCTTGATACGTAGTAAAAAAATTATCTTAATCGGGCGCGGATCTCGATGCAAAATTAAATTGGAAATTTCAAAAATTAATTCGGAGACCATCTGAACTCCGATTTCAGCAAACTTACGGTCAAACTGAGTGTCTCGAAAACATGAACCCAACGACACCAAATTCAACCCAATCCGAGCCCAAATGGGTCCAAATCAAGGACCCGAAGCGTTGCTGGAAGGTTCAAACCACAATTTGAGTTACCAAAAGGTCTATGATTTTAACGAACTTATACTCGAATCGAACGGCTCGACGATATGAATCCAACGAGCCCAAGATCACTGAATTCCGAAATCACTAAGGCCTCCAAATGCCTGACAAACGGTCCATGATCAAGGGGTTCAATATCGGCCGTCCATCCAACCACTCCCCATTTACCCTTGATCTCTCACCTATTTACGGGGCATGCCACTCCATAAAATCTATAAATAGACCCCTCATTTCTCTTGAAAGAGGATCCAAGCAAGAAGGGAAGAGAAGAAGAGAAGGAAGAGAAGGAAGAGAAGGAAGAAGCTCCTCCTCGACCACCGACGGAACCTCGCCGGACCACCACAGGAGCTCGCCAGACCACCGCTGGAACCTCGCCGAACCACCACCGGAGCTCGCCGTACCACCGCCGGAACCTCGTCGTACCACCGCCAGACCACCGCTGGAACCTCGTCAGAGCTTCGTTGCACCACCACCTCAAGGCCCGACGTTCTGCTGAAGACGCGACGTTCAGGCCCAACATTCTGCTTAAGGCCCGACGTTCTACTGAAGGCTCGACATTCTGCTCAAGGCCCGACGTTCTGCTTAAGGCCAGACTACCAACTAACACCCGAACTTCCAGGTGACACCAGAGTACTATCAAGTGACACCGGGTCTAACACCAGACTTCTATCAAACAGTTACTAGTTGTAATCTGATCGCCCTTGGAGGCGAGTCAGCCCTTTGTAATCGACTCAAATTATAGTGGAATCTTTTTCAACTGGGCTAGGCCTCGTGGTTTTTCCCGTTTTAAGGGTTTTCCACGTAAAAAGTCTTGGTGTCTAATAAATGCTAGACCTCCTCTCTTATCTGATTGTGTGCCGGATTTTCGTACAACGCTAAGACGATAAATTTTATATTTTCTACCGCCGCGAATACTCCTGGACGCAACATAAAGGGTGCAAATGAGTCCAGCTCACGAGTTGAATTTAGCAAATCTAGAACTCGAGCTGAATTTTGAGCTTTTTGGATTATCAAGTTCGAGCTCAATCGGGATGATGCTCGGCTCAATTATTCATCAGGAAGTTTGACTGCTGAAGCGTAACCGCGAAAGCCGAAGGAGGAAGGCGGAGTTGCGGGGGTGGGCTCGGACGCGGAAAGCTAAAGCGAAATTGGGTTGCGAACGCGAAATGGGTACGCCTCGTGAGTCTGCATCCACTGCCACGAGACGAGCTTTTGTTTGAGCTCGACCTGAGCGAGCTTGGGATTTGGCTCGCGAGTCGAGCTCGAGTTTAGCATAACATGAGGTCGAGTAGACTAGTTTGTACCCCTAGATTCAAGTAACGCTTCATTTGTGATAGTTTTTTACAACTATTTTTTTGATATTTTTGAGAAGTTTTTGAACTAAAAAATTTCTTTTAAGAAAGTTTATGCTTAAAAATTATTTTAGAAAATAATAAGAAAGATATTCCAAACTAAATTTAAATTTATTGTTATACATGATTCGAGCCTAAAGAGAAAAAAAATCAAGAGACAAACTTTAAATTTTATTAGATTTATGTAAATGAGAGAGCACGAGCCTCTTAGAATATGATGAGCTCATTCTATGGAATTATATTTGTTGCATACTGGAATATTCGTGGTGATAGAGATATACAAAATTTAGCATCCTAGTTTTATACGAAGATCCATCACACAAGCATATAAAAGAGTAGAATATGTGCAATATTCATAAGAGACACAAAAAATTTTAAGTGAAAATTCATGTAAAAGAAAAAAAATTACGGGATCCGATCCAATTTGAATGAATCTGCTAGTATTGATGATTGATTACAAATAATATGTGAGAACCCTTGAATTTCAAGATTTTTTGTACAAGTTAGTTTGTACGAACCATCTGTACGAACTGAACATGGTGCAGGTTAGACTGTATGAACCGTCTATATGAACTGAACATGTTGCAGGTTCATATGTACGAACCGTCAGTACGAATTGAACAATTTTTTTTTTTTTTACAGAGCCCATCGTCTTGGGACGAAAATCAATTATCGTCTGTACAATCTGAAATATCTTAGCCCATTAAATATCTCATTCGTTCGATTTTGAAGTGAGAGAAAAGCCTAGAGAGAGAAAGAGAATGTGAAGAAGAGAAAATCCGCATTTTGGATTACTTCAGTCTGTTTTTGTCCATTGTCGCAGTTAGCAAAGTTGATCGACTCGAGGTAAGGCGCATTATGCCTGTCTCAATTTTCAGAAATATGAGTTTTGACAAATATTCCGATTAAAGTTTTATTTCCGTTAGCAAAAAACGAGTATAACTTTGCACCGGTAAAACTTTTAGCGCGTAACTTTTGGTATGTCATAGAGATTATGAATTTGCACGTTTTGAATAATATCTGAAAATTTTACACTGGGTATTTTGAAATTTATGGAGTTTTTATCGAATAGAAAATTATATGGATGTCAAAAAATAGTGCTTCAGTACAATAAAAGTTTTGAAATATTATTTTATACGATCTCTGATAATTTGGTAATTTTTTGAAATTATGCATTTTTTATTCATTTGCTTTCTGCTGTCTGTTGCTATACGAAAATGCGAAATTTTGATATGTGATCAATTTCTCCGTATTTAATATGATGTGATGTTTTATGTGCTAATGTGATTTGAATGATATATGTTGGGAGTTATATGAGGCCATAATCCTTTAAGATTCTGTTTGTGTCGGGGAATAAAGAGAGGCATAAGGTGCTAAAATACTTTGAGATTATGTCTGGGTCTGGGAATTGAAATTTGATCTGGTAATTATGTATATCTGATATGTTATGATGTTGTAAGCACAAAGGGAGACATAAGGGATCAGAATCCTTTGATATTTTGTCTGTGTCAGGAAAATTCAGAAGGGAGGCATAAGGGGTCAGAATCCTTTGAGATTCTGTTTGTGTAAAGAAAAATCTGAATAACTCTGAAATGTGATTTGAAATTGTGAGACCTCGTTCCTTTGCTGTAGCTGCTGGGAAAGTGATTTTTCCCCAGGATCGTCCGGGACGATGGTGAGAGGCTTTCTTTTGTAGCCTGTGTGGCTAGTGTAGATATTTTTTTTGGACTCTTTTGTCTGTTCTCTGATTGTACTATATGTGGATTGTGAATTATAGTATCCGCTGCTGTTTCTTTTCTGTAATGTAATTATCTCTGGCTCTGGATGTATGATGGATGGATAGATGAGGAAACTGATAGAAACTGAAAAAAAAAAGAAAAAAAAATGAATGCTCGATCAGATGAATCTTTTCGCTACACGGATCTTGGGTCGTTATAGAAATCTGATTTGAAATGTAATCTGAATGCTATTTTGAATGATTTTGTGATATGAATTTTATTCAGTTCTTCTGTATCTGTTATTTGATTCATTTGTTTTGTATAAATATCAGAATTCTATTTGATTGTCTGATTTCTGTATGATTATCTAAATTTTGTATGATTATATGATTTTTGCACGATTATCTAAATTCTATCTAATTATCTGGATTTCTGATGAATATCCGAATTCTATACGACTATCTAAATTAGTGAATGAATTGCTTGTATTTCTGTTTCATGATTTTCAGTTCAGTGATTTATTTGATCTGCAATATACCGTTTTTAAATCTTCAGTGAAGTATTTTGAAATGAGAGTGTCTGAAAATTTAGATTGGTTAGTGTGATCTTGCTGAGCTGTTAGCTCACTGTGATTTTATTCATGATTTTTAAGATCGGGGAAAGGGAATGAAGTTGCGGACTAGCCATTCAGGTTTTGATATGAACTTATAGAAATTTTGTTATTTTGATTTTTGTACAGTTATGGTTATAGTTTACTTTTCAGTTATGTACTTTCTGTCTGTAGCCATGTACTATAATGTATATGATTATTTTGATGAATGAAAGAAAAATTTTAGTATATGAGTTTTCTGTATTTGAATTTTTGTAGTAGCTCTATGGTTCTGTATTATTCAATGTATATTGGAAGAAAGTTTGAAAATAAATTTCAAAACTAGATCTTGTGGTTCGTCGTCGCAACTCAACACGATAGGATCTGTCTTGGTCGGGTTGGGTTGTGACATAATACACCTCCTTGGAGGAGGGTGTTGGCTTAATGAAGCAAATACTCATTGTATAGAGTGTATTACATGACTACAGTTCTTAAGAGAATGTCGGAATATTTATTTGGTCAGTAGGATCATACTCGGCGAGCAATGGTAGTCGGAAAGAACTTAGTTGACGGACGACAATATTTGAGAGGAGATTTGACATGAATAACATCCAGGAAGAGTTCCGGTGATAATCGGAAAACAGGTGGAAGTCCAACCGCGATCTGTGGTCGTGAAGAAATCTGGCAACAATATTTTTGTTTCTTAAAGTAGTTTTTTAATAAAAAATTAATTTTTTTGTACTAGAAAGCTGCTTTAAGAAACAATAAGAAAGTCATCCCAAAAAGAAGCTTAAGTTTCTATTTCTATTTCTGGTCCATTTTTTTGTCTTTTTTTAAATATATATTTTTAATCATGCTCAGATAAAACAAAAGTTAGAGTCAATCGAGTTAAGGAAAATTATATCATAATTTATTTATTAAAATCACCATTTTCAAAATAATATATTTTATAGCTTCAAG